AGATCAAGCTGTTTAGACTTATTTCAAGTGTTGCTACAAATTATTTATAATTCCACGGAAGACATTTCTTGAATTTTCTTTTAAAAACAAGATATTTTTGTTTGTTCCATTGGCAACTCTTGTCAAAATGTACCCAAGTTAAAATAAAAAAACACTTACTTTAAGCATTTTTTGACCTTTTCTTTTATAAAATTTAGCAGTGTAGGTACTTTATTGTCCGTCTCTCACATTCAAACACAAATAAAAGAGAAATTATATATATTTTCAAAGAATCAGGGCCCAAAGAATCTAACATTGAAGCTGTAAGTGCAGGAGACAATGTGGAAGGAGTTAATGAACTATAGGACTCAGTTTTAAGATTCCTCCCTCGTCGCGCCCGCCCTGAGGCAGTCTGTGGAGCAGGGCCAGGCTCCCAGGGCCCGGCTCCCAGGGCGCCTCTGCTCAGACTTTTAATAGCTGACATTTGATTTGCTTCAATAATCATGTTTTGACAGGGACTGCGACCGTATTTTTGTGAAAACATGATCTTAAAAATGGTTGATTGCTTTACCTAACTAGTAACTGTACATATACAGTACGACTGCAAAAAAATATAAATAATGAGGGAATAAATGCTGGAATTGAGTGATTTTAATCTTAATTGGAGCACATTCTGACTGTTTTAAAACAATATTCACTGATGGGACACAAATATTTAGTCTAATTTCAAAAAATTTTGCTTTAATTTCTCATTCCAAGAGAGACATTTCATGTATCTTTTTGTCCCATCGGCAAATCTTGTTTTAAGGCACTCAGAATGTGCTCAAACAAAGATAGATTTGACCAAATCTAGGCAATTTTTTGACTTATTTTTCATCACTTTTTACAGTGAAGAAGATTTCAGATGTAAGAATGAAACTAAAAGGACCAACACGGTAAGATTGAGGATGTATTGAGAACAAACCAAGCTTAAACCAGTGGAGCACAGACACTTGCTGGGCTCACATTAGCATGGATCGCTGCGGAGCTTCCAGACAAAGTGCACCAAATGCAGCAAAGAATAAAATTACAGCAAAGAATAAAATGAAGTACATTAGCGGAGATATAAAAGCTCCTGTTGGAGTACGGTTGTTTCCGGTCTTTTCAAAACGCAGCCATTTCAGGGGCACACGTTTTTATGTGTTTTATCATAATCTTAGCTTTTATGCTTTTGTGCTTTTCTGTTCTTCGAAAGATTGAGGGCTCATTGTTGGAGCCTCCTTTTCCCCGATCTCTGAGTTTATGCTTTATGCATCGGTGGTGGAGGTGTGAGCGCTGGGAGATCAGGGCAGAAGGAGGAAGCCCGGATGGGGTAGTCTGGTCTTACCACACCATTGTACTCATTTCATTCCATACTAAGGTCCATTGACTCCAGATTGAAACGATTGGATCTGAGTTCACCGTGATGTGTAATTCACCCGAGTGAGTGTAGCATTTAGCCTAGCTTTAGCATTTAGCCTAGCTTTAGCATTTAGCCTAGCTTTAGCCATCTCCTTTGCCACTAACAGAGCCTGTGGGGAGTAGAGCCACAACATCTCTGCAGCAATGACATTTGCTAAACATTCCTCTTGCTCCGGCTTCAATTTATTTATATTTGGAGTCGAACCAGAACAGATTATTTTACTATCGCATTCTCCGACAAACTACACCCGGCAATTTCGGCACAAACTTTTGACGTCGCTGACACCGACCTACAACACCAGCCTCCCCCGCTCTCTGATTGGTCGGAGGGGATTCAACTGAGGAAACTGCAGCCACTAGGACTAGACCCAGACGTACATGTCCAGACCAGAGTTAATGGACGGCTAAGACCAGGGTAGGCTGGGGTGACCTGGGCACTGAGTGTGCAAGTGGAAAAGAAACGATTTCCTTCCGGCTGCTGTCAGACTGTTCAATGAGCACTGCTGAACCTACATTAGTGAATAGTGCAATCATCTGACCTCCTCCATCATCACCACCGCCTCAGATCCACAACCTCCTCACTCCCCTCAGGACTAAACACTGAACCCTGAGGCCCGAGCCTTAGCCGCAGCTGCCCCGACTCTCTGGAGCTCCCACTCACTACAGAACTTTAAATCACCCACATCAAGGCGGGAGTCTGGGGACGGTGCCAAGCGGGGCTCCCTGGAGGTGACCTGGCGTGTGCAGTGGGAAGGAGGACGGAATCAGAGACGTGGGTCAGTTTTATTGTTTTTTTTTATTTTTTTATAAAGAAGAAATGATAAAATACTGTATATTTTAGTGCAAGAAATATGTAGTTGTTTGTTTACATCTGTACAGAGGAGATGTATGTGTGTCTGCTTGTGTGTATCTGTGTGTGTATGTGTGTCTACTTGTGTGTATCTGTGTGTGTGTGTGTCTACTTGTGTGTATGCGTATCTACTTGTGTGTATAAGCATGTCTACTTGTGTGTATCTGTGTGTGTGTATGTGTCTACTTGTGTGTGTGTGTATGTGTGTCTGCTTGTGTGTATCTGTGTGTGGGTACGTCTGTCTACTTGTGTGTATCTGTGTGTGTGTATGTGTGTCTACTTGTGTGTATTAGTGTGTGCATGTGTGTCTACTTGTGTGTATCTGTGTCTATGTGTGTGTGTGTGTCTGTGTGTGTATGTGTGTCTGCTTGTGTGTATCTGTGTGTGTATGTGTGTCTACTTGTGTGTATCTGTGTGTGTGTGTGTCTACTTGTGTGTATGCGTATCTACTTGTGTGTATAAGCATGTCTACTTGTGTGTATCTGTGTGTGTGTATGTGTCTACTTGTGTGTGTGTGTATGTGTGTCTGCTTGTGTGTATCTGTGTGTGTGTACGTCTGTCTACTTGTGTGTATCTGTGTGTGTATGTGTGTCTACTTGTGTGTATTAGTGTGTGCATGTGTGTCTACTTGTGTGTATCTGTGTCTATGTGTGTGTGTGTGTCTGTGTGTGTATGTGTGTATGTGTGTCTGCTTGTGTGTATTTGTGTGTGTGTACGTGTCTACTTGTGTGTATCTGTGTGTGTGTCTGCTTGTGTGTATCTGTGTGTGTATATGTGTCTACTTGTGTGTATCTGTGTGTGTATGTGTGTCTACTTGTGTGTATGTGTGTCTGCTTGTGTGTATGTGTGTGTGTGTATGCATGTCTACTTGTATCCAGCCCCAGATGAGGACGTGGTGACAGTGACGGTGAAGACAGAGTGAGGTCCAGACTCTGACAAACTGAGCTGTTCCCACGGGACCAGGACGATACCAAATGTCAGAGAGACACACTATCATTCAGCACGACACGGCACCAGCCAATATTTATGAGCAGCTGCTACACACAGGAGACAACAACGATACACAACGGACCACAAAGTTGATATATTTAGAAAGACTCAGGGTTAAACTTGTAACGACTGAATCTACACTGATCCCAGGGAAACGAGTGAAAGCCACAGCTGCCCTGGGGCACACTGACAGAAGATAGGCAACCAGTCTGTGCCATCCGCCCCTCCCACCACCACCAACCATTCACAGACACACTCACACACACACACACCAGACTCATTCCAGTAAAAGTGTCTTGCCTAAGTCTCAGTTTGTCGCCTGGTGTTTCCAAAGGTCCCCCATCACAGTACTAACCAGGCGCTGCTCTGCTTAGCTTCAGGAGTCTGACAAGATCTGGCTTTCACCTGCAGTTAAAGGGCCTTAGCTAAAGAATTCCAGTCTTTCACCGATCGTTTTAGTCGATAAACACAGGACATTATTGCAAAACAAATTGTTAACAGGATGGTTTAGGTTTCAAAAGACCCGACAGAGACCGACGACTTCTTCTACAAATATGTTTCAGAGACCGACGACTTCTACAAATATGTTTCAGAGACCGACGACTTCTTCTACAAATATGTTTCAGAGACCGACGACTTCTACAAATATGTTTCAGAGACCGACGACTTCTTCTACAAATATGTTTCAGAGACCGACGACTTCTTCTACAAATATATTTCAGAGACCGACGACTTCTTCTACAAATGTGTTTCAGAGACCGACGACTTCTTCTACAAATATGTTTCAGAGACCGACGACTTCTTCTACTAATATGTTTCAGAGACCGACGACTTCTTCTACAAATATATTTCAGAGACCGACGACTTCTACAAATATGTTTCAGAGACCGACGACTTCTACAAATATGTTTCAGAGACCGACGACTTCTTCTACAAATATGTTTCAGAGACCGACGACTTCTACAAATATGTTTCAGAGACCGACGACTTCTTCTACAAATATGTTTCAGAGACCGACGACTTCTTCTACAAATATGTTTCAGAGACCGACGACTTCTTCTACAAATATGTTTCAGAGACCGACGACTTCTACAAATATGTTTCAGAGACAGACGACTTCTTCTACAAATATGTTTCAGAGACCGACGACTTCTTCTACAAATATGTTTCAGAGACCGACGACTTCTTCTACTAATATGTTTCAGAGACCGACGACTTCTTCTACAAATACGTTTCAGAGACCGACGACTTCTTCTACAAATATGTTTCAGAGACCGACGACTTCTTCGACAAATATGTTTCAGAGAGAAAGCAGCGCTGCACAGGGGCCAAGCAACGCTGCATAAAACGGTCAAATATGAGGTAATAATTGCTTGAATCCAGTGGTTTTTATCATATTCTGACACATTCTGACTGTGGGAAAACTCGATTCTCCAACGGGACAAAGACATTTAGTCTTCTTTCAAGAATTTTACTTTTAGAGACATTTCTTGTAATTTTTTTTTTACTTTTGAGCCAAAAAATTCGAACTTGTTTTTCATCACATTTTAACGTTTCTAAAGTGATGCTAAGATAAAAGTAGCACAATCAAATATACAAGTCTGTCAGCTTTAGATAAAAACCATTGAAATAAAATAAAACATTGATATAAACAAAATAAAATGAAATAAAATAATTACAATTAAAAAAAAAAAATAAAAAAAATAATAATAATTACTATTAAATAAAAAATGATTTAAAGAAAATAAAGGAAAAATAATAAAAAAAAAGAAAAAACAATTAAAATAAAAAAACAATTGAAATAAAATAAAATAAAAACAATTAAAATAAAAAAACAATTGAAATAAAATAAAATAAAAACTATTAAAAAATAATTATCTATATACATAAAATAAATACAATAAAATAGAGTACCACACAACTCACGCGGTAATAAAACCCAGAGAGTAAAAGTAGATCTTAAATCACAAGACTTAAAAATTTCCAAACGAGGAGCTGTTTTCACGTCTTGTATAAAGTGACAGCGATATGTTAATTACGTAAATGATCATGAATCAAAGATACATCAGAGAAGCAGAGAATGTACTTCCTGGTGAGCGGAGAGAGAAACCCCGGCCTCTGCTGCGGTTATATTTAGCGCACAAAGAAACACTGGAGACGCACTTCACTTAATAAAATATACATTATGCTCCAGCAACAGACACGAAGGACACAGAGCATGAAACTGGAAACGCATGAAACCGGGAGTAAAGAGGGGAAAAAACAAACATATGTGCGATTTATCGACAATATCAGAGTCACCGCCATTTTTTAAAAGCACGATACTTTACTTTAATGTAATGTAGTGGGATTATTGTATATATTACAAAAGCAGCTGTGTACAGTCTCTCATGTGTGTGTAAACGGGCGACAGAGGCTCAGTTGGTAGGGCATTGGCCTCGGAGCCTGAAAGTTGTGGGTTCGAGCCCACCTCAAGACCTTCTCCATCGACTCCCACTGCTGTCGTTGTGTCCTTGAGCAAGACACTCAGCCCCCTTATCCCCATTGCCTGTGTGTGTCTGTCCTTCTCTCTGTCCTCTGGTCTCTATCCTCAAAAATGGTCTGGTCGGCATGAGTTAGACATGCCTGCTTTAATTTAATCTAATCAATCTAATTTTGCAAAATCATAGAAAAGCTATAGATGTATTTCTGGACACGAATGGTATCGCCCCAGCCCTAAGTGCATGTATAATGAATTAGTAACAGATGATTGTGGCCCCTCAGAGTAGTAACCATAGCAACAGGCTCCTCTCACTGCGCTGAAGAACGGATGGATTTAGGTGAACCTTTGCTCACAAACAATAATTCAGAGAAATTCGGAATTTGTTTTTGTTTACTTTATTCACTTTTACTAAATGCTAAAACAGTTTGTTGAAAGCTAATGCTAACTGCTAATGGTAAACGGTGCGTTGCTATAGTAACCATTCCTTGCACTTAAGATAATGACAGAAATAAACTACTATGAAGTGCTAGAGACGCAGAAAAAGTCACAAATTTACGACGACCAACGAGGTACATGCACTTAGTAATGACACTTGTGAAACGAAAAGCCGTCGATTTGACTGCTCTGGGAGTCGTTAATGAGGTAATGCGCTGTAAGTCTCCACTTGAGGATTGCTGTAGTTAATTGCGAAGGCGGCGGAAATAAGACACGCGCCTGTAAACCGAGTCGAGGAATGTGATTGGACGGCGAGAGGTGGTTAGACCAGACACAGGAAACAGAGACGACACAGGAGCCAAGGCCCGAGGAGGCGCAGGAGGAGGTGAGAGGAGGTAAGAGGAGGGTTTGGTGCGGTGGTTAGAGATGCCAGCCAAAACACATACTGTAGCACCAGCCCTGAATTGAAATTTTAAAATATTATAATTTTCGGAGAAGTTTGATTGTGTATTTTTACAAGCTGTGAGCTGTAATCAACATCATGGGACTGGAACAGCTCGTCCTGTGTTTACTCAATCAGTGACACAACACTGAAATATCCGCACTGTGGGACGAATAAAGGATCTCTTAATCTTAATCTTAATCAAATCATAACTTTCACATCGTAAGTTGAATCATGGACGCACATTTCTTCATTTATTGTTTATTTTCTTTAGGGCGGTGAATGTTGATGAACACAGCTCTCCGTCGTCCCACAGTCGCACTCACAAAAACACACACTCTGAGCTACTGTGCTTGTTTTTACTGGTGGGGGACATCTACCGGAGTGCCCGGACGAAACCTACGCAGACCAAATCTAACAAAAGCAGTAGTTTTGCAAGCAGTCTTTTGCAAAAAGACGGGAAAATGTGGAAAGATATTCGCTTTTGTGCAAGGTATATTTGCCCTGTAAGACCGCTGTCTTTGCGATCTGCTAAAAGTAAAGTTTTCCAATAATTGTAAACGCTAGTGAGTTCAAACTAAATTGTATTAGGAGGCAATGCCACCAAAGAAAGCAACGCAGACGGAAAACGATATGGAGGAGATTCGTAAGGCACTGAACAGCATGTCGGCGGAGCTGGCTAAGGTAACACAACAGCTGGCCAAGCTTACGGAACTACACGAGGAAGTCAAACAACTAAGAGAGACTTTAATCTCAAGAGATAAAAGAATTGAGGAACTAGAGAAAAGGATCGATAACATTGAACAGTATACGCGAATGGAAGACGTTATCATTACAGGGATGAATGTGAAACCACGCTCTTACGCTAGAGCAGCAGCCGGAGGGAGAAACATCAGCGAAGATGCAGAGCCCGGGGACCTACAGTCGCTGGAGGGGCAAGTCCTGAACTTTCTGGCTGAAAAGGACATACATTTGGACGCAGGAAATATAGCAGCATGTCATACTCTCCCAGGAGGGACGCGACTAAGCCTGCCATTATTCTGCGGTTTGTTAACAGAAAAGTTAAAACAGATCTGCTAAAGCAAGGGAAGAAGCTGAAAGGATCTGCGGTATACCTTAATGAGCATCTCACTCATAAAACGGCCACAATTGCGCGTGAAGCACGCATCTTGAGGAAGAACAACAAAATCAAATCGACGTGGACCAGAAATTGCAAGGTCTTCATCCAACTGAATGGAGCCACTCCAGAACAAGCCAAGGTTTTACTGGTAAGAGAACTCAAAGATCTTGAACAGTTTAAGTAATGCTACAAAAAACAGACCCGACAGTGAAACTAAAACGGCTTGAAACTAGACAATATTTAAATTATGAATGAAATAAAAATTGTCTTTATTGATGGAGTCTGGGGCTTTATTCTGAGGAATATGGTATTTATTAAAGATCCTTGTGCCTTGTCCTGCTGGACTCTGTGGACCTACAAAGATAATACTTATGAATATACCTTGGAGTGGACTTGCACACTGGAAAGGTTACCTCCCAAAGGACTCTTATTGACAATCTTGGATTTTATCATTTTACCTCCTCGGAGATGGTGGACTGGAATTACTCTTTCGCAATCAGAAGGAGCCTTCACATTTTGGACATATTTGAACGCTGTGATTGTGGCGTATAAAATTAACAATTGTAAACCGCTTTGAGACTCAGATCTGCAGTGAAAAGGCGGTATATAAATAAAAACTTACTTACTTACTACTTACTTACTAAAACATAGAAATAAAGTCGCAGAAGAAAAATATAAAACATACAAAAACAAATGAATTAATATAATCAGAGTGAATAAGGAAAATTATTATCACAAATTACTGGAACATCATCAAAGTAATATCAGTGGAATATGGAAAATACTAAATGGTCTAATTAAGAATGGGAAAAAAGAAAATGCACTTCCAAATTATTTTATAATTAATAATCATGAAAACACCTGTACAAGTGAAATTGCAGACGCCTTTAATGACTTTTTTACAAAGGTAGGACCTACATTGGCTGGTGGAATTCAAGTAAATAATAGTGGAAATTTAGTAGATAGTTTAGTTAAACAGAATTCCAACTCTTTATTTTTAAGAGGGGTAGAAGAATATGAAATAATTAGTATTGTTAACAACTTTAAAAACAAAAGGTCAACGGACTGTCTTAACTTGGACATGACGTTGGTCAAGGAAATCATAAATTACATCAGCACACCCTTTACATTCATCTGCAATCAATCTTTCCGTACAGGTATTTTTCCTAGAAAAATGAAAACAGCAAAAGTAATTCCCATTTATAAAAGTGGTGATAAACATCTATTCACAAATTACAGACCTATCTCACTCCTCTCACAGTTCTCAAAAATCTTAGAAAAACTATTTGTTAACAGACTGGACAATTTTATTGAAAAATATCACTTGTTAAGTGACAATCAGTTTGGCTTTCGAACTAACAGATCTGCCACGATGGCGGTCATGGCTCTTGCTGAAGACGTTACTACTGCAATTGATAACAACGAACATACTGTAGGTGTTTTTATAGACTTAAGTAAGGCTTTTGACACCATAGACCACTCACTTCTTCTTCAGAAGCTTCACAGATACGGTATCCGGGGAATTGCTCACAATTGGGTGGAAAGTTACTTAAGTAAAAGAGACCAGTATGTCCATATAAATAATGTCAACTCAAATAAACAGCTCATAACACACGGAGTTCCACAAGGTTCAATTTTGGGACCTAAATTATTTATTATGTATATCAATGATGTCTGTGAGATATTGGATAAAGGTAAATGCCTATTGTATGCTGATGATACCAGCCTCTACTACTCTGGAAACAGTCTGCATGACATCATTGATATAGTTCAGCAAGAACTGACGATCCTAAAAGGATGGTTCGACCGTAACAAACTCTCCATGAACCTGACAAAAACAAAATATATAATATTTGGAAATAAAATAAATAACACTCAAATTAAACTGGAGATCAATGGCAAAAAATAGAACAAGTAGATACAAACAAGTTCCTAGGAATTACTGTTGACGGAAAACTCAGCTGGAAGCAGCATTTATATAATCTTAAATTGAAATTGTCAAAAAAATGTTGGAATTTTGGGTAAATTGAGACATGTTTTAAACCAAAAATCACGCCACCTGTTATACAACTCCCTTATTCTTCCCTATTTGAGTTACGGTGCTGAAATATGGGGAAACAATTATAGAACAAATATTGAACCAATTTTTCTACTTCAAAAGAAGGCCATACGAATTGTGTTTAAAACACACTACTACGCACCGACTAACCCTCTCTTTATCCAGTTAAGAACTTTAAAAATGTATGATATTGTTGATGTGAGTACACTGGCTGTGGTATACAGGGCTCAGCACAATAATCTTCCACCCAATATTCAAAATATGTTTGAACATAGAGATTGTAGTTACAATCTCAGAGGAACAGGGATTTTCAAAATAAATAAGGCAAGAACTAACAAAAAAAGCAGATGTGTCTCGGTCAGAGGAGTGAGACTATGGAACAACTTAGACGACGCAATCAAAAACTCCTACTCATTGAAGACGTTTAAAAATAATATTAAACATAATATTTTAAGTAATTACCAAGCCCAAGAATGATAGGTCTAGCAGCTCTCCTACATCTCTATGACAGCCTTTTGCTGTTTGCTTTTGTTGTTAAAATATTAAAATGTGTTTTCTCAAATTATTTATATTTTTCCATCCTATTGTTTCTTTTTATTATTAAAATGTTCTCCTGATCTTGACTTTTAGTTTGGCTTCTATTTTAAAAGGGTTTTTTTCCCCATACTTTGGAGACTTTACTTAATGAATTGGATTAGGCAAAAATAAGTTATACTTCAGCCTAATCCCTTCGGTCACAACTGCGTTTGTAAATCTATGTGAAAGCATGTACATTACTGACATAAGATTCATTGTTTTTGTAACCTTGTCCTCTTTTGATTGTCCTTTATGTCTAAATAATGATAATTTGTATGACCGAATAAACAAACAAACAAACAAACAACATATATTTTATATGCATCTAAAAACAATAGGGACTATTCTTGGGTTTCATATGACGTCAGGGCAGTGGCGCGAATAACAAACGTAGGACAGGACGTGACGTATCCTGGCGGTGCAGTCTGCCGGGTTTATACACAGAGATACAGTAGAAGAAGAAGCGGTTTATACACGGAGATATAGAAGAAGAAGCGCTGTCGTTATGCCATCTTTTTGTGCGGTGTACGCTTGTAGCAACCGCACAAATACAGAGAAAGACCAGAGTTTGTTCATGTTCCAACTGTGGTCTCATATAGGAGGACACTTTGAAAAAATCACTAGAATGAGGCGGGCTAGGTGGATCAAGGCTTTCCCAGATAAGCGCCCCCTGCAGGCCACCCCAATGAAACGCAGCAATTTCTTCCGTTTTTTTTCCAAAAATGCCCGAAATCAAGACTCTTTTGAGAAATATTTCTAGTCCTCCTTTAGAATTGAGTGTCCCCGATTAAGGCTGTTCCAACAACCGTACACCGCACAGGAGGAGAGCCTTTGACTTTACATGGTTTTCAATGGGAGCAAACTGAGTTGTCTCACCTCTGCCCATGCGCCCCCTACTGGCCAGGCTCATGAAACCCAAGAATAGCAGTGCGAGAAAACAGATCACAGAATACTTTCTAAATCCGGTTTTAAAAGTACTCTCGCAGCGTAGACGGCCGTGCTGACGTAGAGCTACTGCAGTCTGGAAACAAGTGAAAGTTATGAAAGAACTGTTGGTGCAGGTCGGAGGAGGTTTTTGTGTTTGGACATTAATTATAAACAACCAGCTGCAGCTTCTGCTTCAGCAACGCCATATCTGGGTTAATGCACACCTGCTCCACACGGCTCTGCTCAGACACCAGCTACAGACACCAGCAGCACAGACACCAGCTACAGACACCAGCAGCAGCTCTATGTTCAGACACCAGCTACAGACACCAGCTACAGACACCAGCAGCACAGACACCAGCATCACAGACGGTATCAACACAGACACCAGCAGCACAGACACCAGCATCACAGACAGCATCAACACAGACACCAGCATCACAGACAGCGTCAACACAGACACCAGCTACAGACACCAGCAGCACAGACACCAGCATCACAGACAGCATCAACACAGACACCAGCATCACAGACAGCATCAACACAGACACCAGCAGCACAGACACCAGCAGCACAGACACCAGCATCACAGACACCAGCAGCACAGACAGCATCAACACAGACACCAGCATCACAGACAGCGTCAACACAGACACCAGCTACAGACACCAGCAGCACAGACACCAGCAGCACAGACACCAGCATCACAGACAGCATCAACAAAGACACCAGCGACAGACACCAGCATCACAGACAGCATCAACACAGACACCAGCAGCACAGACACCAGCATCACAGACAGCATCAACACAGACACCAGCATCACAGACAGCGTCAACACAGACACCAGCTACAGACACCAGCAGCACAGACACCAGCAGCACAGACACCAGCATCACAGACAGCATCAACAAAGACACCAGCGACAGACACCAGCATCACAGACAGCATCAACACAGACACCAGCAGCACAGACAGCATCAACACAGACACCACCAACAGACACCAGCAGCACAGACAGCATCAACACAGACACCAGCAACAGACACCAGCATCACAGACACCAGCAGCACAGACAGCATCAACACAGACACCAGCAACAGCACACAGCATCAACACAGACACCAGCAGCACAGACACCAGCAGCACAGACAGCATCAACACAGACACCAGCATCACAGACACCAGCAGCACAGACAGCATCAACACAGACACCAGCAACAGACACCAGCAGCACAGACAGCATCAACACAGACAGCATCAACACAGACACCAGCAGCACAGACACCAGCAGCACAGACAGCATCAACACAGACACGAGCAGCACAGACACCAGCAGCACAGACAGCATCAACACAGACACCAGCATCACAGACACCAGCAGCACAGACAATATTTCCTTGTTGGCATCATTTTTCCATTTGTCACCGGCTCAAAGCAATATTATGTTGTTTTAAAAAGATACAAGAACGTTTCCTTGGAATGAGAAAATAAATCAACAGTTCTTGAAAAGGGATTAAATGCCTTTGTCCAGTTGGAGAATCTGGTTCTAACACAGTCAGATTGAGATAAAAACCACTCGATTCAAGCGATTATTACCTTATATTTGATCATTTTTTGCAGTGTGACACATTCAAAAGACAAAGGTTATAACACAAAGCACTTTGCAATTTTAGATTACCGATTTTTATGTGTTTTTCCATTCTCTCCACACAAGTGTTGACAGAAGCGAGACCACAATCAACGACTTCATACTGTTAGCAGCATGGTGCTGAGTGGTTAGCCCTCTCACTTTTCAGTAAACAGAACGGAACACGAACCAATATCTATGACTAAAGAAAAATCAAAGCATTGCAAGACATTTTTTTTAAAACCGCTCAGAAAAAAACACAAACATTGACGAGTGCAGTTGTCGCGGGGCTTTTACATTTGTCACTGAATGTTAGAGAGACGTTTTGGCAGCTGTGATCCTCGGGGGATATTCTCCACGTGATCCAAGTAGGTGCAAAACTGTCGACAAATAGAATTGCTAAACACTCTCTGAACAACAACAGTCAATCCATAGAGAACTATCCGGAAAAACCTGGACTTTTAACCTTCAAACACATCATTCATTGGTTTCTCACAGACACTGACACTGACACAGACACTGACACAGACACTGGGTCCAAAGTCGGGTTTTTTTGTCTAATTTTCTTCTATAACTTTGTAGAATCCTCCACGACAATCCTTGGGCGGCCCGGTGGCTGAGTGGATAGCACTTTGCACTTTCACTTTCTGAGTGGAGTTTGCATGTTCGCCCCGTGTCTGTGTAGGTTTCCTCCGGGTGCTCCGGTTTCCCCTACCACTAAAAACATGTACAATAGGTCTGGAATGCGCCTCCTGTACTGGCCCCGCTCTCATCTCAGTGTGGAGGGAGAGACAAAAGCCCACATTTGTAAACGGCTCTGTGACTCTGGTCTGTGAAAGGCGCTATATAAATAAACATACTACTTACTTACTACAACCCAATTTAAGACAAATAAATCTGTTTTACTGCATGAATGTTTTAATGGATTTTATGTAATATTATTGTGACGCACTTTGGTCAGCTTGGGTGTCGTAAATGGCTCTAGAAATGACAGTTAATTGATTAGATTATCCTAAAAATATAATAATAATTTTTAACAGGAAGTGACAAACTAAGAGATTGCTTTGGATGTAAAGATAAAATAAGGAAAAAAAAGTAAACCCATGGTGTTCTTCAGAGGCGGGACCAACGTTAAAATTTCAGACAGAAGACTGAGGCCCTCAAACGTTGCAAAAATCTTTAAAAGTCTTCATTACAAAAGGCAAAAGAGGTTACAATGACGCGTTTCAGCATAACATGTTCTTAAATGACACACAATAGACATTTAGCAGAGCGGTAAAGAGACAGCAGCAAAATATACCGACAAAAACAATATAAAACCCAAAAATAAATAAAATACCAAGGGAGAGAAAGAGCCCGAACTACAGGCTGTGAGGTGTACTTTGAAACGGTTCTAATTAGAAACAAAAACAAAGGAAAAGCACACGCTGAAAAAGCCGCGCAGACGAGAACAACGTCTTCTTTAAAAATCCCTTCATCCTCAGTTCATTATCCGGGATTTTACAAGAGGCAATTACAGCGAGAAACAAGGTCAACACTACAGGAAATCAATCAGGGGTCCGCGTTCCCTCCACGGCGGCCTGTCTTTCAAACCCCCCCCCCCTCTCTCTCTGTCTCTGTCTCTGTTCCTATGTTCGGTTAATTCAGAGCTTCATGAGTCAGCATTCCTTTGGTCTGTTTGTTTGTGGGCCTGGTCCCTGTGTCTCTCTCTTTCTGTGTCTCTGTTTCTGTGTCTCTCTTTCTGTGTCTCTCTGTCTCTCTCTTTCTGTGTCTCTGTCTTTCTGTGTCTCTCTCTCTCTGTGTCTCTGTCTCTCTCTTTCTGTGTCTCTCTCTTTCTGTGCCTCTGTGTCTCTCTCTTCTGTGTCTCTGTCTCTCTCTTTCTGTGCCTCTGTCTCTCTCTTTCTGTGTCTCTGTCTCTCTCTTTCTGTGTCTCTGTCTCTCTCTTTCTGTGTCTCTGTCTCTCTTTCTGTGTCTCTGTCTCTCTCTTTCTGTGTCTCTGTCTCTCTCTTTCTGTGCCTCTGTCTCTCTTTCTGTGTCTCTGTCTCTCTCTTTCTGTGTCTCTGTCTCTCTCTTTCTGTGCCTCTGTGTCTCTCTCTTTCTGTGCCTCTGTGTCTCTCTCTTTCTGTGTCTCTGTCTCTCTCTTTCTGTGTCTCTCTGTCTCTCTCTTTCTGTGTCTCTGTCTTTCTCTTTCTGTGTCTCTCTCTTTCTGTGTCTCTGTCTCTCTCTTTCTGTGTCTCTCTCTTTCTGTGCCTCTGTGTCTCTCTCTTTCTGTGTCTCTGTCTCTCTCTTTCTGTGCCTCTGTCTCTCTCTTTCTGTGTCTCTGTCTCTCTCTTTCTGTGTCTCTGTCTCTCTCTTTCTGTGTCTCTGTCTCTCTCTTTCTGTGTCTCTGTCTCTCTCTTTCTGTGTCTCTGTCACTCTCTTTCTGTGTCTCTGTCTCTCTCTTTCTGTGTCTCTGTCTCTCTCTTTCTGTGCCTCTGTGTCTCTCTCTTTCTGTGCCTCTGTGTCTCTCTCTTTCTGTGTCTCTGTCTCTCTCTTTCTGTGTCCCTGTGGTCATGCCTGGTCCCTGTGTCTCTACGTCCCTGTCAGTGTCTACAAAAACGCAATATATTATCATTATTATATTATTATGATTAAAAATATAGATTGAATTGAATTTTCCTTTGCTTCACAAAACAAAACCAGACAAACCACAAATCCACTACATGAAAATAATTTTGGCGGCCACTCAAAACAGTCTTTCGGACCGGATCTGGCCCGCGAGCCGGACGTTGACCAGCCTGCTACAAAGCGTGTCCCCCTGTCATCTCAGCCCCAGCCTCCGCCACCAGCTCCAGCTCGGCGTCCTCTGATGCGTGACCAGGCTCCATCGCATGCAGACAGACAGTACACCTGATACACACAAGCTGTTTATGCCGCGCTTCTAAACATGGATCAGAGGAGCGAAGCTAATGCTGCTGACACAGAACAGTGACATCTGTTCCGCGGCGGACCACATGCGGCCCACGTGTCGATGCTGTGACGGCTCCCACGCTGTAAACTAGACGCCCAGGTCAGGCCGGCTCACTTTTTCCCCCCTTTCGGATCAATTTACCCGCAGTGGCTCGGTCGGACCACGTGCCCATATATGGAAGGGCACAATTCGCTGAAGCCTGAGTCTGGAGAGCTTTTTCTTTTCAGAGACAGCAGGGTCTGAGCTCAGTGGTTTTATTCAATTCAATGTGTTTTGGTTGAATTCACCAACACAGACCTTAGAATGAGTTCAAACACAAGAAAATGCAATGATCAAAAACACATAGAGGCCGTGGTTTTGCATTTCCTGAACTGTTTGATTCTCTGATCTGTGTCGGCAAATCAACAGTTTTGTTAAGTCTACTGAGATAACTAGTGTTGTGGTTTAGGGCTATACAAAAAAATATTTATTTATATAAATACACAAAATAAATAAAATAAATAAAATAAATAAAATAAATAAAATAAATAAAATAATGATAATAATAAATGAATAAAAAATCTGAGTGAATCGCACCCTCATCTTTACAGATAGACACATGCTGCTGAAGAATAGGCCAATAGGAATGTATAGATGGAACATGGATCCTGCTTCCATTAGACTGAACTAGACTACACCAATCGCCGATCAGCCACCCTCCTCCCCCCGCCTCCCCTTCTCTCCCCTACACCCCCCCTCCCCTCTGTGTGGAGAGTGAGACCTGACACCAACACTGCTGATTAGCCTCCAAAATACCAGTGTCATGTGATTGCACAGGGTGTTCCAAACAAAACCATGATGCTATGGGGGCGAGCACCATTCACCTAACTTTGTAAATAAGTAAATACAGAAATGTATGGATTCCTAATGTTTTTAACAATTCAATTCAATTCTATGTATTTTTGTATAGCCCTTCAATCACAACAGGACTTTACAAAACCGTTGATTTGCCAACACCAGATCAGAGAATCAAACAGTATAAACACAGAAAATGCAATGATGAAAAACACATAGAGCCGATGGTCCATAAGCGGCAGAGAATAATGTCCATAAATGTGGTTGAATGTCGAGGGTCCTGGATCATCCCCACTGCACTTAGACCTTCCTGAATCGGCTAGGATCAACTTTGAGACCCCAGTGGGAGGAAATGAGAAACCTCAGGAAGACCCACAAACATCGTCAGGGTAGTTATATGCATCCAACCCTAATGTCTACATCAATATTATCATCACCTCCAGACTCGACTACTGCAATAGCCTCCTCTACGAACCCCCACCTCTCATCTTCAAAAACAGCAATACATCCAGAACTCTGCGGCCCACCTCCTCACTCAAACCCGGTCCAGAGAGCACATCACCCCTGTCCTCCAGCAGCTCCACTGGCTCCCCGTTCAATACCGCATCCATTACAAGCTCCTCCTCCTCACCTACAAGTCCCTCCATAACCTGGCTCCGCCCCCTACCCCACCGCCCACACGCCGCCTTCGCTCAGCCGATTCCAACCTCCTCACTCCCATCCCACCCTGACCCGCACTAACCGCCGGACCTTGGGGGACAGAGCCTTTGCCATTGCCGCCCCAACCCTCTGGAACTCACTCCCACTGCCCATTAGAAACTCTAACTCACGACCAAGCTTTAAATCAGTCTCAAAACCCATCTTTTCAAACAAGCTTTTTCATAAACCCCCCTTCTTTTTTTTATTCCCCATTTGAAGCGTCTTTGAGTGTCCAAAAAAGCGCTGTACAAGTTTGATGTATTATTATTATTATTATTATTATTACTATCTCTCAGCTGCCCTCATAGGTCACCGTTAAAATACCCTGAGGTTTCATATTTATATTTGAACTGGATTTTTACAATGATTCTGTTCCATCATTGAGAAAACAGTCAGATTCTGTAACGACGCAGGAACAATGGAATGATTGAGTTTCCACAAATGTTTTAATATTTAATTGGAATACATGCAAACACACAGTTGCCCAGCTTCTGTTGCCTGGAGAATTTCCAAACTCAGTCATTACTCCGGGGATATGAAACAAATCTGGATCTGGATCCCAGGCCAACGCTTCTGCGGGACCATGTGAGACCAACCCGAACCAGAGATCTGCTCCAACCTAGTTTTGTAGTAGTAGTAGTAATCTTTATTTATATACCGCCTTTTCACTGCAGATCTGAGTCTCAAAGCGGTTTACAATTGTTAATTTTGGGCATTTGTCTCTCACTCCACACAGAGATGGGAGCGGGGCCAGTACAGGAGGCACATGCCAGAACTATTGGACATATTTTTAGTGGTAGGGGAAACCGGAGTACCCGGAGGAAACCTACGCAGACACGGGGAGAACATGCAAACTCCACTCAGAAAGGCCCTGGTCCGACCGGGATTCGAACCCAGGACCTTCTTGCTGAGAGGCGAGAGTGCTATCCACTCAGCCACCGTGCCGCCCAGTGGTTCAGTGGTTGTAACTGATTCAACCACTGAACCTTTTATTATTAACCTGGCAAGAGCCAGATTGATGATTGTGTAGAACTCTAACGCGTTCTCCGCGATATCAATCTGGGATTTCTCCCGGAGAATCCTTTCGGGGAAAGGAGGGATAAGCAGCAGAATACTTCAAGCTGATTGGGCGAAGTGACGCTGTGTGCCCGCCTACACTCTTGCCAAAACCCGTAGGTAAAAATGCACAAACATCTTTGCCGTCCAGAAATGCACAAAGCGCCTCTCACTGTTCATCTTTCAAAAAAGAAATTGGAGATTCTGCTAAAACTGACTTGATAGCCTCAGCTACGCGTCCGTCCTCCTGCGTAGCCATGTTTGTTTTGCTTCGGCCCGGCACTTCTTGCTTTCGTCAAACCCGGATATCCCGCCCTAAACCCCCAGACTGGCGCGTGATTGGCTCGCACACCCAGTGGTTCGACTCGAAAAGTGTAAGCGGGAGCGGTACAAGATGTATTCTCGAGTGTTTGTGAACTCACAAATACCGCGAGAATTCAGCTTGCAGGCAAGGTTATTTTATTATTCCCTCCTTGAAGAAAACAATGTCATATCTTATTTTTGGGATTTTCTAAGGAGCACTAAAGACACACATACTTTGTTTTTTTCTTCTTTTTTTTAACCCCTAATTTTTATTACAGACCTTGACCAAATGGTTGGTGGTAAAAGGGCCTAAAACCAAGTGAGATGCCCTAAAAAAGCATCACTAACAAACTGTTTAAGTCATTTACACATTGTATCTTCTTGTAAATTATGGACAGTAGTTTATTTGTTCAGTCATTTCTTTTACTTTTCTATCTTCCACATAATGATACATGATTATTCTCTTAAAACAAGGACTGAAAGGGTTAAGGCTGAAGTAGAAACGTCAGCGTACTTAACCGTAATCGCGCAAATCAGAAATCCAAGAAAAGTACAAACCTCGTACTTCTTCTTCACTGTTTTATTTCTCGCAATCGCTTTGGATTTAAACAGCCGTAAATACTGCAGTAGTTTGACGTGATGATACTGTAGTCAAACTCCTGGACATTCAAATTTTAAAGTAAATTCCCATTTTCCTGCATTAGCAAAACGCTGAATTGACGCCTAAATCTGTTGAACTGTAATGATGGATCGAAACCACACCAGCAACATTTGATAAGAAAGTACATTTTGTCCTCGTGACGGAGCTAAACAGAGCAGGTAGTTTGGTTCGGTTTTTCAAGATCTCCTTGAGCGGTGGCTAGTTAGCGGTGGCCAGTTAGCGGTGGCTAGTTAGCAGTGGCCAGTTAGCGGTGGCTAGTTAGCGGTGGCCAGTTAGCGGTGGCCAGTTGGCGGTGGCCAGTTAGCGGTGGCCAGTTAGCGGTGGCTAGTTAGCGGTGGCTAGTTAGCGGTGGCTAGTTAGCGGTGGCTAGTTAGCGGTGGCCAGTTAGCGGTGGCTAGTTAACGGTGGCCAGTTAGCGGTGGCCAGTTAGCGGTGGCCAGTTGGCGGTGGCCAGTTAGCGGTGGCCAGTTAGCGGTGGCCAGTTAGCGGTGGCTAGTTAGCGGTGGCTAGTTAGCGATAGCTAAGGTGCAGAGGCTATTCATCCTAGGTTCTCCTCAAAATTATGACAGACTTATACATATTTTTACATTTAATTGAAATAATTCACAGATGTATCCTCACACACACACAAGTTGGAGATTGTAGACTTATTTCCCTATTAGGCTAAAGATAGAGAGTGTATACTGTGATAAGTTATTGTTGCTCCTCATTCCTACTGCAACAATGACATTTCCCCACCGTGGGACGAATAATGAATTTCTTAATATTATCAAACCCGGCAGTTTTGCATGTGTTTTTTTAAGTTTTCCAAGGTAATTACTATGATTTAGGGCATTACAAAAATTAACTGAATTGAATTAAGGTAGCATCGATCTGTTTAACCAGGTGAAAGAATTAGTCTTTTGCTCATTATGGAAGCGAGTGAATAACGTCGAGCAGTTGACATCTTGTTGATAAGCAGAGCCACATGCAGCGTAAATGTTGGATCCCAGGGGCCGTGCAGCCACAAGCCCGATGGGTCCCACTCTGGGCCTGGATTTGGCTGCGACGCGGTGGAGCTGATGAACCAGATGAGGCACATGGTTCTTTGGGGGATACTCAGGGCCCGGCTGTTGTTCCGCAACAGGATATATGCAAGAAACCACACGGACAGGCCATTTATGCAACACACAGTTACATTTATGGACATTGGTCATCTGTATTTATGGAAAAATGTATATTTTGTTTATTTTATTTTATTGCATTTCTTGTGTTTCAACGGTTTGATCCTTTGATCTGTGTTGGCAAATTGACAGCTTTGTAAAGTAGATTTACAAATATAAAAAAAATATGTATTTTTGCACATTATACATTATTCTTTCACTCGTACACATTAGTGATAAACTACGAC